TGATGAAGTTGCCGATCTGCTACTGGCGGGAGGTGGCGGCGTTGGGTGTTGGGCTAAGAAGACGACGGCGGGTGACCATATCGGAGGCGTCTGGACGGGTGGCCGGAGGTGGACGGTGGGTGGATGGTGGGTGGGTTTGATTTGGAATTGTGGGGTTAATTTGTGGAAATTTGATATATTATATGGGCTCAATTGTAATTTTTGAGTTTTAATTTATTTCAATTGGACACATGAGGCAAATCTGGAATATACTAAAAGTTTAATTTTGGATGATAATGTTACACAAATGCACATAATTATGTGATAAAATGCACATTAAAAATACCACAATATATTATTTCAGTTGATATAGTGCAATATGACAATCAGTAATGTGCAACCCGTCTAACACTAACGTGCACTCGAAGTCCAAATACTTTTTATAACAATATATTTAGTATTTACAATTTTTCATTTTATATTATTAGTTGTTCAAAATGAAGAATATATATAGGTAAAATATAAATATAATATTTTTATTTAGTTTGGTCGGTTGTGTCATTATTATTATTATTATTATTATTATTATTATTATTAGTATTATTAGTATTATTACTATTATTATTATTATTATTATTATTATTATTATTATTATTATTATTATTATTATTATTATTAAAGCCAGAACCCGGCCGAAACAACAAAAATTTGAACATCTGGAAACGCACGATTTTTTTGTTATGGTTATAGACATTTATGGGACATTCATGTGCAATCCGTATAACTCTAATGTGCACTCGCGATACGTAAAAAATATAGATAGCAAAATAGTATCATTTATAATAAAAAATATAAATAAATAAAAAAAAAATCGGTAATATTTTTCATATAGTTCGCCATGTTCGGTTATCTTGTTTATTTAAAAATAACTAAATCTGACATTAACCAACTAATATTATTCGATCAATCATTAAGATTACTAGAATTACTGTAATTTTAATATGTGGAATGTGTTGGTTATAAAGTGCAACATATTGCTGTATAAAGTGCAATGTATTGATATATAAAGTGCAATACCAAAATTTGGATATTTTAATATGTGGAACGTGTTGCGTTATAAAGTGTAATGTATTGTTGTATAAAGTGTAATGTATTGATATATAAAATGCAATATTAAAATTTTTGGATATTTTAACAGGATTGTGTTTTTTTTTTTTTCGTGGATATATGATGTGATGGATAGTAAAGTATTATGTCTCTCTATTTTTTTATATTTATATTGCATAATAGTTTGGTGGAGGTCATTGACATTAATATTGGTATGCAGTTATAAAGTGCAACACGTGGTTTTATAAAGTTCGACGTTTTATTTTATAAAGTGCAATATCCCGTTATATGAAGTGCACCAATTTATAATTTTCCATGCGTATCTCGAAAACTATTTTTAATAGATATAATTTTACATCTAATTAACCTAAATAATTAAAATATATTTTCATTTATTATATTTACATCTAATTAACCTAAATAATTTATTTTCATTTATTATTTCATTATATAACTTGCTTATTATTATAAATTATTTACTAATTTATATTTGTTTTATTAAATAATTTATTTTTTATTTAATATATATGCCCAAAAATATATAAAAACCCCTGTTTTATTAACTTTCACTATTTACAGATTTGACCATGGGGTTAAATTCAAATATAGTTAAATTTATAAAATTTCAAATAGGTCCCTAGATTTAACCTAATTCTCCACAAAAAGTCCCAACCCCACCACATTCCAATTTCAGATTTTCAGATCTCAAGCCTTATTTTCCGGCAATTCGACAGTCACTGAGTTCGTCACGGTTGTACCGTCGTCCGGAGCTCTGTTCGCAGGTAGTATTTACTCAACTGGAGGCGGCGCGCCTGGAGCCCTGTGGCGGAGGAATACGGTGGCTGCTTAGGAAGGCGACGGTCTCTGTGTGTGTGGGGTCGGAGGAGAGCGGCGGAATCGCACACTTGAACGGTGTGCGTGTGTGTCGGAGACGGCGGTGTCGCAGCGGCGAGTGGCGGCGGAGTTGCAGAGGCGAGCGGCGGTATTGTTGCAGTGGCGATCGGCGGCGGTTTTAGTAGGAAGCGGCAGCGTCGAATCTCAGAGGTGAGGCTGCGACGACAAACTTAAGGTGATGAGGTGGTGGCGAACAGAGTGGTCGGAGGATGGTCGGAGAAGGGATGTTGGAGGAGCAGGTGAGGATGGTGGCGGGGAAGGGACGTTGGAGGAGCAGGTGAGAGTGGCGCTGTGGGGATTCCGGCGGGCGGGGGAGTGGGTGGAGATGGTGGCGGGGCGGCGGCGCCGGTGGTGAAGGTGGTGGGGCTTGGTGGCTGACTGTGTGTGTGTGTGTGTATGTGTTGGTGTGCGTGCGTATTGGTGTGTGTGTTGTGTGTGTTGGTGTGTGTGAGTGGTTGGGAATTGGTAGGTTAATTAAAGTGGAGTGGGGTCCAACTCATTAGGTGTAGTGTGCTAAATTACTACATTGTCCTTAATGAAGGTATAAATTTGACTTTTTTATTAGCCATTAGATCATCGGATCCAATGGCTACGATTTATTCTCATTTCTCGCATTAAGAATCATTCTCACTGGAGCGTGACCCTATATATATATAGAAGTGCGCTCAAATGAGAATGAAACACAATAAAGAAATAAGAATGATTCTAGACCACTGGATTCATCACATCAATGACCATGATCAAGTCAAACCTTGGTCAATCATTAATGGCAGTATGGTAAATTAACATGCACATTCTGGTCAAATGTATATATTTGACCAATTATTAAGGGTATTATAGTCATTATAAATGTCTAACTCATATGTGGGACCCATCACAAAAACCCACCGTGAATTCTTTCTCTCTCACACATTCACACAAAATACACACACTAGATCTATATCTCTCTCTCTCTCTCTGTGCACGCACATATTCAGTATTCACACACAAACACACACTGAGAGATCCACCACCACCACCTGCAGCCGTAGACCACCGCCCGCGGCCGCCAACCGCCGCCCGGTGACACAACCTCTCCAATCCCGTCGCCCCCTGTTCGTCTCAAGTCCCCGCCGCCACCGACAGCACAGATCACCACCGCCTCCGTCAACACCTGCCGCCAGTTGACCACAACTGCAGGCCTATCGGCCATGACTTTTTTGTCCCCACACAGCCGCCGTCATCCACCACAGACTGCCGCCGCGCTTCCTCTTTCCGGCAACCGATCTGAATGCGAGAAGAGGCTCCCGTGGAGAATCCGGCGTGTCGTCCGCCGTCCACATCTCCAGTTGCATCTTGTGCGACGTTGCGCCTCTGGCCGGTGAGACTGGTTATGTGATGTCGCGTCCCGACGTCGCTGGAAATTTGAGGAGATCGGGCAAAAATTTCGATTGACAGTGTGTTAAGATATATTGATCCTCATGTATTTAGGAATACGCTTTTATGTATCTGTATTAAGTAGCATTATTAGGTCTTATTTTAGTCTTTAGTATAAATAGAAGTGTTAACCTAATTTGTACCCAACAGTTTTCATTCTCTCTCATTCAATACAAAGTATGTTTTCTTTTCCCTCGTGTGCTCTCGATTTATCTCTTCAGAACATTCATTAGATCTGTTCTTCAGATTTTATCATGGTATCAGATTTTAATAAGTATACTTGGATTCTTGATACTGGTGCATCTGACCACATGGTGTGTGATTTTAACCTCTTTACTGATTTTCCAAAACCTGTGAGTATAAATGTAAATCTTCCTAATGGACAAACTGCATGTGCAAGTCATGTGGGCCAGATAAATCTGGGACCTAATCTTGTACTGCACAATGCTTTGTTTGTTCCCACATTCACATTTAACCTCATCTCTGTTTCCAAACTCACCATTTCTAATAACTGTAAAATCAGTTTCTATTCTACTTATTGCCATATGCAGGAGCTGAACAACAAAACAATGATTGGTTTTGCTGAAGCTCAAAGTGGATTATACCATCTAAAGCTTGCCAGCAATAATATCAATTTTTCTTGTAATTCTTCTATTTCTGAAAATTTTAATGCCACTGTTTGGCACAATAGACTTGGACACTTATCTTTTCATAAACTTGTTCAGCTTCCCTTGGCTTTGCACAAAAACATTGGTAACACTCATGCTCCTTGTGATATATGTCATTTTTCTAGACAAAAGGCTCTACCTTATGCAATAAGCTCCTCTATTGCTTCTGCTCCTTTTGAATTGATCCACTGTGACATTTGGGGACCATTCTCTGTTTCATCTTATGCTGGTCACAAGTATTTTCTACCTGTTTTGGATGATTTTAGCAGAACTACTTGGATTTATCCCTTACTGTCCAAATCTGATACTAAACATCATATTTTGCATTTTCTTAACATGGTAAAAACCCAGTTTAACTCATATATCAAAACCATCAGAACTGATAATGGATCAGAATTTTTCATGAAAGATTTTTTCATACAAACTGGGATTATTCATCAAACTAGCTGTGTTGAGAATCCTCAACAAAATGGAAGGGTTGAAAGAAAACATCAACATCTATTGCAAGTAGCTAGAGCAATTATGTTTCATGCAAACTTACCTCTGATTTTTTGGATTGATTGTATCCTAGCTGCTGTGCACATTATTAACAGAACACCTTCATCCATTTTACACCTTCATCCATTTCCCAAACACTTCAATATTTCAAGCAGAGAGAAAGCAGTCAGCTTCATGGATGTGGTCAAACTGGTTGAAGGTGCTCCCAATGTTTACAAAATTTTGTTGGAAGGAGATCAGATCAGGGAAAAACACCAAAATTCTTGATGGAGGATGGATTCCAGGAGAAGGGGGACAGGCACCTAAGTTCCAGCATTCTAACAATGACAATCCAACATGGGTGCAGGAATTAATGATGAGTTCTGGTAACAAATGGGACACTGAGTTGGTGAAGTCCCTATTCTCCAATGAGGTTAGTGCTGCCATTCTTAACATAAAATCACTAGCTGCAGATAAAGATGATAAATGGATGTGGGGACTGAATAGAAAAGGTGACTTCTCAGTGGCAGACTCCTATTCTCATCTGATAATAGAGAAGGTGAACCTATTGGACATTCCTGAAAGCAGTACCTCGAGAAGAAATAACAAGCTGGCTAGGGATAGAAGCTGGAAACTGAAAGTGAGAGGCAGAATTAAACACTTCATTTGGAAGTGTTTCACAGGTATCTTACCAGTTGGTGTGAATCTGGTAATGAAAAGGGTTGCAGTTGATGCTATATGTCCAGTGTGTGGGGACTCAGAAGAAACAATTGAACACCTTCTTCTCCATTGCCAGAAAGCCAGAAATGTATGGAAGATGGCTCCAGTCTCTTGGGAGGGAATTGATTTGCAGGGTTTAAACTTCAAAGAATGGTGGTGGCAGGTCTGTGACATTAAGAAATCTGAAACAGAAGAGGCTAGGATCCAACTATCGACATACATACTATGGTGGCTTTGGCGAGCGCGCAACCTTTGGGTGTTTACAAACGAGAGAATGCCAGAGACAATAATCATGAAGAGGGCAGTGAAAGAATGGTTAGAATACAAAGATATGAGGTAGCTGCAGTTATAGTCCTTGTTGTGTGTGCTGTTTGTAGGTTTGTGTTTGTTGGTTTGCTGTTGGTGATTTTTTCTTCTTATTTCTTGTGCTGCTATTACTGTGATTGTTCAGTTAGGTTGGTTGGTGTCTTGTGATGTTCATGTTTTAGTTTACTGTTTATTGCTTTGTGCTGGTAGTAGTGTGTTTGGAGTATTCAAGGTTCAGGTGCATGTACCTGCTTGATACCCAGGGTGGGTTTGTCTAGACCACTATTTTTAGTGGGTCTCCCAGTTTATTTTCTACCCGTTGGTAGGCGCGGTTATGATGTATTGAACCTTGTTTTTAGTGATATGAGTATGTCCTATCGTTTGAAAAAAAAAAAAAAAAAAATAAAACCATTCTCATAGAACAAAGTTTGATAAAAGAGCATCTAAATGCATATTGCTTGGATATCCTCTGGGTTGTAAAGGATATAAGCTTTACAACCTGGATACCAAACATACATTTATCTCCAGAAATGTGATATTCTATGAGTCTGTGTTTCCATATAAAGACCTTTTTTCTACACAACCCTTGACAGATAACCTTTTTCCTGTTCCTACTGAGCCTATTATTGACACTGATCCCATTAACACACAACCCATTACTAATATTCAATCCCCACCTCCCATTAATACACAACCTACTTCTCCTATCCATACATTACCACAACCATTACCTCAATCCATTGCTGTGCCAACTACAAATATTCCTGTCCATAGCCCAACAAATACAAATCTCAGAAGATCCACAAGATCAAGACAACCTCCTTCATACCTAAACATATATAAACATTCTTTACCTTCTACCTTTTCCAATGTGTCCTTCACTGACTCACAAACTCACACATCTGGAAACATTTTACATCCTCTGTCAAATCATTTATCTACTGAAAGGCTTCATAACTCTCATTCTTGTTTTACTGCTTCTATAAGTCTTATTAAAGAACCAAGGTCCTATAAACAAGCTGCCTTAGACCCTAACTGGCAAGAAGCCATGAACTCTGAAATCAATGCACTTGAGAAAACCAATACATGGATTCTCACAGACCTCCCACCTGGTAAGCACTGTATTGGGTGCAAATGGGTCTACAAAGTCAAGTACAACTCAGATGGCACCTCACTCAAGAGGAAGGTATTGATTACTTTGACACCTTTTCTCCTGTTGCAAAAATTACTTCTGTCAGATTACTTTTAGCCATTGCTTCAATCAAAAATTGGTTTCTTTATCAACTTGATGTCAATAATGCTTTCTTACATGGTGATCTTGATGAAGACATTTACATGACCCCTCCCCCTGGTTACATTGATCCTCATTCTACAAAGGTTTGCAAATTAGTTAAAAGTCTATATGGCCTTAAGCAAGCCTCTAGACAATGGTTTCAAAAGCTTACCTCTTGTTTATTAAACTATGGTTATGCTCAGTCTACTTCTGATTCCAGCCTGTGTATTAAAAATAAATCTGGTTCTTTCACAGCTTTACTTGTATATGTTGATGATATTATACTGGCTGGTGATGATTTAGATGAGATCAATTCTGTTAAATCTCATTTAAATGACTGCTTTACAATAAAAGATTTAGGCAAACTTAAATATATGCTTGGCATTGAGGTTGCTCAATCTGAAAAAGGAATCCATCTCTGCCAAAGAAAGTATGCTTTGGATATTTTACATGATACTGGTTACTTGGATTCTAAACCTGCAAATACTCCCATGGACTCTAACATTAAACTTACTGCTGCCTGCTCTGACATTTTTCCTTATGTTGATGCAAAATCTTATAGACAGCTCATTGGCAGATTGCTTTATTTAACCATTACTAGACCTGATCTTTCATATTGCATTCAAGCACTTAGTCAACATTTATCTGCACCTACTCAACAACACCTCTCAGCTGCTCATAGGGTGCTAAGGTATATCAAATGCACTGTGGGACAAGGTATTTTCTACCCTAGAACCTCTTATTTATCCTTACATGCTTATTCAGATAGTGATTGGGCTGGGTGTGTGGATACTAGAAGAAGTATCTCAGGTTTTGCTTTCTTTCTTGGTAATTCCTTGATTTCATGGAAATCTAAGAAACAACAAACCGTGAGTAGATCTTCTGCTGAGTCTGAGTATAGGGCACTTGCCAATGCAACTTGTGAAGCACAATGGTTATTGTATCTTCTTGCTGATTTTAATATTACTCACTCAGTCCCTATTACCATTTTTTCAGATAGTAAGTCTGCCATAGCTTTAGCACATAATCCTGTTCAACATGAGCGAACCAAACACATCGAGATTGATTGTCACCTCATCCGGGAGAAGCTTGCACAAGGCAAAATTGGTCTGCAGTTTGTCCCCTCACAGGAGCAAGTGGCTGACATTTTTACCAAACCCCTTGCAGTTCAAGCCTTTCAGTCGATTGTTTCCAAGATGAGCATGTTAAATATCCATGCTCCTCTTGCGGGGGGGTGTTAAGATATATTGATCCTCATGTATTTAGGAATGCGCTTTTATGTATCTGTATTAAGTAGCATTATTAGGTCTTATTTTAGTCTTTAGTATAAATAGAAGTGTTAACCTAATTTGTACCCAACAGTTTTCATTCTCTCTCATTCAATACAAAGTATGTTTTCTTTTCCCTCGTGTGCTCTCGATTTATCTCTTCAGAACATTCATTAGATCTGTTCTTCAGATTTTATCACAGTGGTGGTTACATTTTCATGGTCGGAGGTGGGTGGTGATGTGGATATGGACTGACGACCGTCGGCCCGTCGGATGAGGTTGTCGCCGGCGGGAGAGTGGGGAGGGAGGTGGTTGGGAGAGTGTAGAATTGGGATTGTTTTTTGAGAATTTGATAGGGTAGAAGGATTCAATAGCAATTTTGTAAACTTTGATAAATTACAATTGAGTTCAATGGTCAAATATGTAATTAATTAAAATATGATTAGTATTTATCACTTAACTTAATATCTTAAATTTCCTATTTTTGTTGTATTTTAATATGTATGGCAATTTTGTAATTTATTAAAAGTGCCACAAGTGCACATTATAATACAAAAAATGCACATTATTATATGTTAAAATGCACATTAAAAATTATATTGTAACTTAATTACATTATACATTTTGCAATGTTTATCGTTCGATTGGTTTGTTGTTTCCATCGTTTTAAATAATAATGTCGACATATAATCGAAATATTTAAGTTTTTAAAAGTACAAAAATCAAGAATTAAATTGAAATATAAAAAATTCGAATCGAAAAAATCTTAGTTCGATCGTTCTCGGTCACTAGTGTGCAGTCTGATATACATTAATGTGCAATTTGTCTAACACGAATGTGCACCTTCTCTGTTGCTTTTGTGCAACGTGAATTAAAACTAATATTAATTACGTGGTGTATTTTAGTGGTTAATATTATATATTAGTATTTTAATAATTTATTTTAATAAGTTTATATTATTTTTTGGTTGAAAAACATAACATATGAAATCCTGGATCTGATGTTGTGCATTCATACTTAAAATAATGTGCATTTAGCCTAACATTATTGGGCATCATATTGTGCGTGTATTTCTTTTTTAATTCGTTACGGTTTTATAAATAAATAATAATGCATATTTTCAATTAACATGATTATGCAATTAAAAATTATTTATATATTAAAATATAATTATCATTTATAATTTTTATTTAATATTTTTATACTATTGCTTGTTGAAAATAATTAAGATACATATAAGTTGGTCTTTTTTTTATTATTTTCATGTGCATTTGATCTAACAATATTGTGCAATCTGTCTTTCATTAATGTGCGTCTTGTTTGATACTTTGTGTAATATGATAGCCATTAATGTGATATATTTAGTATTTTATATTTTTTATTTAATATTTCTATTATTTTATTCCAACACAAATATTTAAAATATTTCATTTTTAAATACTCTGTATAGACCAGGCTAAAACTGGANTATATATATATATATATATATATATAGAGAGAGAGAGAGAGAGAGAGAGATGGGATCACATGAGAATGCTTGACAGTGAAAGAAATAAGAATAAATCTGTATCATTGGATCCAACACATCAATGACCATGATCAAGTCAAAACTTAGTCAATCATTAATGACAATATAGTAATTTAACACACATTGTGATCAAATTTACATATTTAACCATTAATTAAGGGTAAAATTGTTATTACACACCATCACACACCAAACATGGGTCCCACCCCCAAAGTTACCCGTCACCTTCCCCACCCGAACTCTTCCCATTCCTTCTCTCTCACACACAAATACACACACCTCACCCAAAATCACTCGTCGCCGTCCTCTTCATCTACCACCACGACCCCGCCCTCTTCATCCACCAGCCCCGTCGCCTGCCGCCGTCCACTTCATCCACCACCACGACCCCGCCCTCTTCATCCACCAGCCCCGTCGCCTACCGCCGTCCCCATCTCTCGCCGCCGTCCCCATCTCCCGCTGCCGGCAGACCTCCCGCTGCCACCTAATGCACAGCATCCCCTCGCTCAGCCGCCGGCGAGATAGATCCGCCGTCTCCGTCAACGTCACAACCATCTCTTCCGCCGTCGAACATCATGACAAGAGGTCCGTCCCTGCACCCTGCAGCAATTCACGGCGGCCGCGCTTGAGCATTGGATGAACCCGCTTGTCTCGTCGGGGCCCGACCGGCGCACATTCATGGACGATATTTCACCTCATAGTCGACAGAGGGAAGAGATGGCCAGGCTTGGATCAGGCGACGGTGGCGACCTCGGGCATGGACGACTGGAACAATCTTTATGAATTGGGGGTTTCTTGATTGAAAATTAGATGATTCTATATATATATTATTTTTTGCTTATAAGACGTAATATATAGTTATAAATATAAATAATATTTTACATGGTCGATCGGTTATTTTAAAAATAAAGTCATCAACGAATCGAAACAACCTAATCTTTAAAAATAAAACGATAACTGAACCGACATATACAAACTGTACCAAAATTTTTTATAATCGATCCCTTTCGGTCTACAAACTTTTACGCTAAAGTGAAATCTCACACGCACTAATGTGCATCTTGATTAACACCGACATAACATCGGATTTTTTATTTTCAATCGGCGTCATTGTCAGGAACTACACTATTATGCTAATATGCTAAAGTGCATCCTCGAATGAATTACTGTGAATTTTGTCTAACACTAATGTGCATTCGGCATAACGTTACTTTTCATATGCGTATCTATACACATATTGTACAATTACTTATCAATAGTCTGCATTTATGTACAAATCTGAAATAACTGAAATTTTAATATATGTGAATGAACATCAACATAACATTGTATTTTTTTATTTCACGTGGTGTCGTTGTCCGAAAATACACTATTGTGCTAATGTGCACTCTCGAATGACTTATTGTGCAATTAGTCTAGTACTAATGTGCAGTTGGCATGACGTTATTTTTTATATGCATATCACACACATATTGTACTATTTACTGGAGATACACTATATTATGTTAATGTGCATTATCAAATAAATTAATGTGCAATTAGTTTAATATTTGTGTGCATTCGGCATGACGTTATTTTTTATATACATATCCATACACATATTGTACAATTTACTTATTAATAGTTTGGATTTATTATATTTACATATTCCTAATAAATATCATCATATATTTTATTTACGAATATTTTTCTTGTATTATTATTTTAATAAATGACATATTCAACCCATGCATTTTAAGTTTGATAATAAAAAATTAATTGTGAAGATAAAACATAAGGATTGTAATTCACGATTTTAAAATTTTAGGTTGATAATTAAAATGAATAATTTGTTAAAAAAAACATAAAATTATTTTGTCCTTTCATTGAAAAGTGCATAAATTGCACTAGAAGGTTCTCAGCAAAACCATATTCACAAATCGCGCACCAAATCTGAAGGAAAAAAAAAAAAAAAATTGAAAATTGCAAAAAATTGGCATTCAACATAGAACAGCCACGACAGAGGAAATTCAAGGCGCGTTCACCGTCGGCAAACTCACGGCGAGGCGGCTTGTGGAGTTCTACCTGGACCAGATCGAGATCCTGAATCTGGTGCTTCACGGAGTAGTTGAAGTCAACCCCAACGCCCGGTGACTGGCCGGCGAGTCCGACCGGGAGAAGGAAGCGAGCAAAAGGACCGGTGGTTTTTCGACGGAAATGGCTAGTGCGTTCGCGCCGATTGGGTGGACGGAAATGATGGCGACATGGCAATTGCGGGAGGAAAGGGTGGCGGCTTACTGGAGGAAGTGGCCCATGCCGGTGTACGGAAAGAGGGTCCGCTGGGGCGGGTGATTTTCCAACGCGACGGCGGAAACGAACGGAAGATTGGATTAGGATGGCGGTGGCGCCGTCAGTGGCGGCGACGGCGGTCGTAGGCAGCGGATGGAAGAAAGCCAGGTTGGGATCGGTGGGTAGTTGAGGAGTATGGTGGGTGGGGTCCACATGATGAGAGATATAGTGGGAGGGTATTTGCCAGCTCACATGATGTTGGTGATAAAATGTCAAACATACCCTTTTCTTAATGTAAAGTTCTTGTTTAGTTTTTGCCATCGGATTGTTCAATTCGATGGACACGATGTATTCTTATTTCTTTCATTGAAGACGATCCAACAACTATAAAATTATTTTATATCTTAAACATATTAAGGATAATGTGGTAATTTTTCTACTCAATTAACCCATGGGCCCCACCTGATAATAACTCACCTAATTAAATTCAACCCACCACCTATGACCTATCCGCCCAACGACCTACTTTATTTCACACACAACACACACACGGATCTATTTTTTCACGCACAACACACACATTACACACACAAACACGCACACAGTGGCCTTCCCACCGGACCATCTCCAGCTCCGCCACCAGCGGTGCCGTAAGAATCTCTCTCTCGCCGTTCGGATCTGCCCAGCACCGTCGTTGCTTCCGTTTTCACTGATGGCCGCCGCACAAGCTCTTCCGGACAGTACCACTTCCGCCAAGGAGGCCGGAACACCTTCCGGTGTTGCTAACCCAGAACCGACCGTCGCACAGGTCCGCCGCGCAAGTCCCGCCGTCTCCGTCATCATCTCGGCCCGCTCGAGCAGAGGTGGCGTCGCGTGGTGAAGTCTCACCAGGAGCTCAACGACCATCTCATCGTCTGACATGGCGGGGTGACCACTCCTCGTCGGCGCTCGTGGCCGCCGTCAAACTCTCGTTGCCGCTACCATCATCTTCCTTCTCAGCTGCCACGTCAAATTCCGACGCTGCTCACCCCCGCTGCCGCCGCCATCCAGATCTCGTGTCCGGCGAGGCGGCTATCTCCGCCCTCTCAGCCACCGTCGCCGCCCCTCCCGCAGCCGTATCCACCGTCCTGATGCCGGCGCCGTCAGCCTAGGCCAGAGAATAGAAACAAACTGCACATGAATTAGGGATTTGGAAATTGTAGGGATAGGACTAATTTTTGAAAATTAGATATAATCAAGGGACTTAATTGTAAATTAAGAAATTTGAAATATATTGGTTGATAGGTTAAATTTGTAAATCGATAAAAATATGTTGATAGTTGCACAACTATGTTATGTGCAATGCACCTCATCGTGTTCGGATTCGCACCTCATCGAGTTCGGATTTGCATATTAAAAATAGCATTATACATACTGCACCATATTGTTATACAAGTTGCACTTTAGGGCACGTCCTATTGCACTTTATCTCAAACAGTGCATTTGCATTTTAATTTATTTTTCTTTAATTTCTATTATCCACCATCCTCCCTCATTAAATAATAACTTATTTAAATAAAGTTAATTTAATGTACAATTATATCTACTAAAACAAGTTTTCAAAAAACAGATAATTTATACGTGATCATATAAAGCAGTGCATTTTATATATCAACACGTTGCACATTATAAAACAGCATATTGCAATTTATAAAACAACACGTTGCACATTATATGTATATATAATTAATTCAGCCAAATTTGATATGAGCAAAAGTGTGTTGCCTTTAAAGACCAATATATATATATATATATATATATATATATATANCTATATATATATATATATATATATATATATATATATATATTTAATCAATATCATTTGAAAGTTACTAAGTTAGCAATTAGTTAAATATTGTACTATAACATGAAAAATTTCGGAAGGATTCGGGGTCTAGTAATCACTAAATTTACCATAAAAGAATATAAAAGTATATTAAAAATATTAAATATACTTCTATAATAATATATAATAAAATATTTTAAATTATTTCGGTTAACTCGATGTACAATTATACCTACTAAAACTAGTTTTCAAATACACATAATTTATATGAGATTATATAAAGTATTGTATTTTATATAACAGCACGTGCACTTTATAAAACACCACGTTGCACTTTATAACACAACATGTTGAACTTTATAAAACAACACGTTGCACCTTATAAAACAACATGTTTTAAACAACCGATTGAACTATATAAATAAATATTATTTTTATATTTTATCTATATATATTATTATTTATTTTTTCATCAAAAAACAATATAAACTATTAACTAACAAATTTACTAATACGAAATATATTTTGTTATAATAAAATATTTGCACTTCGAATACGCACTAGTGTTAGACGGATTGCACGTTCATATATTCAAGGTTGCACTTTAATGTTAGACGGATTGCACATTGATATAGGATATTATATACTGGACAAGTCTTAATGGATAAAAAGGGGATATATTGAATAATAAGCCTACACATAGCTAGGACACATGGCATGATGCTATGGGACAAGCCCAACTTGGGCCATAAGGTACATTCCCCCTATAAAAGGGAGCTAAGGTATCTCATTCTCTCATTTTCTCTACATTCATAATTATACTTTTGGGATTTGGAGTCTTGGAGTGATTCTGACTTGAGCGTCGGAGGCCCGATGCCGGAACCCCTCCCGGCGTTGGGTTTTTGCAGGTTCAGAGGCCGTTCGAATTGACGGAGCCCGAGTGAAATCTTGTTCACTTCATTGGCGCCGTCTGTGGGACCCGTTCGAAAAGCCAAACGGTTTTCCGATCGAAAAATTACGAAAATTCTCCTTCGACTCAGGCGGCCAAAGTACTTGGATCGAAAAGATGTTTACGTTAACGGGTAGATCTCGTCGAGGTGAATCTTCCCTTAAAATATCATGCGAAAATTCATCCGGGAAGGCCTTCGATTTGGTTGGTCAAACTTTCCGGATCTAAGAAATTTTAGTCAACATTCGACCTTCAAATGCGTTTTTCCGGCAATCCGTGAAGGCTATGAGAAATTCGGGAGCACCATTGGAATCCTCTCGACGAGGCGAGTCTTCAGAATGTGACCTCCGCCGGCGCCGGCGCTTCCGCCGTCGCCCTCCGGTCAAAGTTGTCCGATCGGAGAAATTCTTATGTCATCGTGAAGCTCTTCCCCTGCTCGTTGTACCCTTAAAATTTCAAATGAAAATTCCGTCGGGAGGGTCGTTAATTTAGTCGGTCAAACTTTTTGGATCTAGAAAATTGGTGGTCAACTCCGGTCATCTTCTTCATTTTTCCGGCGTTTTCCGACGAACCACGCAAAACCGAGGACACCATTGGGATGGCCTTGTCGAGGCGCACTCACGTCCGGCCACTTTAGCCGGAGCCGGCGAGGTTTGGCCGGTAAAAATTTTCCCGGCGAGTTCCAGTCGTTATACGCGCAGGTTTCAGCATGATGGAACCCAGGTTTTGGGCCCACACGATCACACGCCTTGCAGCCCAAGGAAAAGCCTACGGACCAGCGTCATTCAGCCCCCGAGGAGAACAGAGCCTGTCAGCCCAATAGCATGGGCCCAGTTTGCACGAGGCCCGCGGAGAGAAGAGAAAAGCGCGGGCTGCACCCAGCCCGCGCAGCCCGCATATCTCACAGCCTATGGCCCGATCTGGGCCGCGAGAGCCCGTGCCTGACCCGCGATCGAGCCCGTGTTACTCACAGTTCCTTAGCCCGCGAGAGCCCAGAACCAGCCCGCGTGAGGTCCAAGCCTTCCCAACACATTTCCCTGGCCCATTTCGCGGCCCAACACTATTTCTAGGCAGCCCAGCACCATTTTATGCGGCCTGGTGACCAAATCCAGCCCAGCAGCCGCTTAAACTCGCCCAGCTTGGTCCAATAGTCCCATTTTTTATGCCCAAGACTAATTCGTGATGATTCGAGGCGGACGGGAAGGTAATTTGAGATGATATTCTCATTATTAAGGAAACAATGAAATAACCCGAGTCTCGATAAGCTATGGCGGACGAGTTGGGGAGTTTCGAGGACACAATGAGCGAGCACGAAACCATCAAAGCAGAGTGATAAAGAGGGACGAGTCTGGATGGTGCCGATCGCGGGTGGCAATTTCAGAGACAGAAATCATTCTCTTTTGGAGAGGTAGGATAATTGGGAGTGGCATTCTCGACCTTCAGGTATAAAATTAATCTCAACTCTTGTCGATGGTCAAGACCGACTGATACTATTTTGTGACATATGGAGTCTCTTAGCATTCTTTTTTGGGAGGAATGTTCATTGTTTGAATATTTTGGGTGAAATGTTGCTGAAATTGTGGTGTATCTGGATATGTCTGAAATTATTCTTTGGGTGACTAACAAAATGCAGAAAATGAGGTGTACGTGGAGCCTCGAACAAAATCTGGCACGACTAAGGCCTTTGGGCTGGCCAGTCTCGAGCCGTCATGACTAAGGAGCTCGGTATTGGAAGTAATTCATTCAAATTTTTGTTTGGTGCATTCGTTTAATGATTGTTTGTAGCTGCAGAGTATGGTTTGTTGTAATGGCTTGTCGAATTCATGGTTTTGCGAAATTCTGGACGACTATACGTTTGAATGGGGGTTTATGCGATTTCATATTGTGGTAAGGAGACTTGCATGTAGATTGTGGTGTGGTATAAAAGCATATGGACCAATATGATTGCTTTGATTCATTCGTCTTTTGTTATTATTGCTATCGGGATAGCAAATTGGATGATGTGGATAAAATGCAACTAATGGAATCTGTTGAATTATTTGAAGAAAATGCATGAGCAGGTGACCTGGATATTGGCTATGGTGAAGAGTGGGAAGCATGGAGCAAACAACAACTCAGGTCGTCGTGTACAGACATGAAAGGGAGGTCGAAAAAATGATTGATTTTTTTTTTTATTTTTATTTTTATATCTTGTTCGATATAACTATGCATTTGATGAGACTAACGAAAATGATCAATTACTATTCTGTCTCGTGGTATTTGCTGTGTTTCTTTGTCGACCTCAGTGGCAGGTCGAAGTGTTCGAGCAGTTCGAAGAAAAAAATCCACCATGACTAAGACCTCCGGGCTGGGTGGTCACATGTAAC